ATATATATATATATATATATATATATATATATATATATATATATATATATGTGTAGAGAGTAAACGTATGAATATTCATTCTTTGCAAATAACTGTCGTATTACTGGCGTAGATAATACTAAACAAAACCTGCTGCTACAACTACACAAAGTGCAGCAGCAGCAGCAGCAGCTAGGGCAGCAGCAGCAGAAGAGCAGCCACAGCAGCAAAAGCAAAGCAGCAGCACTGTCTCTAGAGCTATTGTTGGTCTCCGTCTAATTCGAGTTAACCTAAGCAGACAGCAGCAGATCCCTATAGACACAAAGACGGCACAGAAGCTGCATACACCCAAACGCATGCATGCATGCATGCACGCATGCGTCTGAGGTGTACGTGCACCGTAAGAAGAGGCAGACAGCAGCAGCAAGAAGACCCTATCTATCTAAATAACTATTTGATTTGTTTTTTTTGCAACGACCGATGGTGTAAACGAACAAAGACAAAAAAGTCTCCGTTCAAGCGTCTCCTCTAATGCAGCCCCAATGCGCATGCATGCATGCATGCATGCATGCATACATGCATGCATATATACATTTATGAATATCGTTTTATTGTATTTATTTAATTAATTTGAAGCGGAAGCTGTCTAAGACTGCCCCACACGGATCCTTCTTCTTGCAAGCAGTTTTTTGCTTAATCGAACAGTTGTTTTATCTTTGGGTTTGTCTACAGCCTTAGTTTCTTCTCGAACAATAATATTAATATGACAGGGTGATGACATATATGCATTTATTCGTCCATGTGCTCTGTATGTTCGTCTCCTCCCCTTCGGTGCCCTCTGTACTTCAATATGCTCAATAACCAAATTCTCAACATCCAGATTCTTTTGCTGCATGCAACAAAGACAAAAAGATTAAACATTCTTTATATAGTTTTATTTGCTTATTATACACAATAAAACAAATATATACTCATCATATATATATATATATATATATTGTTGTTGTAATATAGATACTATAGACAGCAAGGATCGTAATATATTACTATATTATTTTTATTTTAATCAAGAGAGACTAAGAACGGAAATATAAACAAAAAGAGACAGAAAAAGAAGAAAGAGAGAAAATGAGAAGGAAGGAGACAGACAGAAAAAAATTAAAAACAAAGGGAGACAAACAAATATAGAGAAGACAGAAAGAGAGACAGAAGACAAAAGGAGACAGAGAGAAGACAAAAGGAGACAGAGAGAGGACAAAAGGAGACAGAGAGAAGACAAAAGGAGACAGACAGAAGACAAAAGGAGACAGACAGAAGACAAAAGGAGACAGACAGAAGACAAAAGGAGACAGAAATAAATAAATAGACACAGCAAGAATTAGGAAGAGACAAAATGAAGTAAAGAGACGGGGAGATAAAAAAGGAGACAGAAAGAAACAGAGAGACAGAAAGAAATAAAGAGAGACAGCAAATAATCCCAAGGAGATTAAAGGAGACAAAAGGAGACAGAAAGAATTGGAGAGAGAGTGAGAGAGAGAATAATAAAAAGACAGAAAGAAATAGACAGGAGGAAGCGAAAAGAGACAGAAAGAAATGAAAGGAGACACAAAGAAATAAAAACGGACAGAAGGAAGTAGAGAGACAGAGAGAGAGAAATAAACAAAAAGAGAGACAGCAAGAAATAAAGAGACAGCAAGAAGTAGAATAAAGAGACAGCAAGAAGTAGAATAAAGAGACAGGAAGAAGTAAAAAGAGACAGCAAGAATCCTCAAAGGAGACAAAAGGAGACACAGCAGCAGAAGTAAATACCTCAGCATTAGCTTGCGCATTTTTCAAGAGACCTATGAGGACCTTGCAGCTCTTAACAGGCCACCTTCCTTGAGAAAGCTTAAATTCTTTTGCTTGTGCTGTTCTCCCGATGTTGTTGTTATATCTCCTAAAAGGTACGCATCGCTGCTTCTCTATTACTTGGTGCAGGTACTGCAGAGCAGCACTCAACTTCATAGGTCTGCCCTTCTTATCTTTTTTAATCGCCATCGCAGTCTCGTACGTGTTCTTGAAGTGAACACGCAGATCCTGACCCTGCGCCTTCGCGCCTAAAACACACCCCACAAATACACCCCACAACTCGATCCCAACTTAACTCGATCCCAATACACACGATCCCACTATCAAAACACGCACGATCCCAATGCACACACTCCCAATACACTCGATCCCACTAAATACGATCCCAATACACTCGATCCCAACAACACCATCCCAACTGCACGATCCCAACTGCACGATCCCGTGAGACACGATCCCCAAACACAAGCGATCCCAACATAAACGATACCGAGACACACGATCCCAACACAACGATCCCCACAGACACGATCCCACCCACACGATCCCAAGCGACACGATCCCATAAACACGATCCCAAAGGAGACAGCGGAGCTACGAAGCCAGAGAGGCCTCCGCTTCTACTGTCTCCTGGAGACGATCCCCACGATCCCCAGAGGCGATCCCCAGAGGCGATCCCACGCATCTCAATGAAGCAGCAGATACTCTTCTGACCCATGCATGCCTCTAGAGGCGGCACCATATAAGCACACATAACTGCTTGCTGCAGCTGCAGCTGCAGCTGCAGCAGCTGCTGCTGCTGCTGCATGCACAGCAACCCCCCCAACCCATGAGTCCCCGGGCAGCCTATGTACAATGCAAGGCTTTCTCATGATTTGCTGCTGCTGTTGCTGCTGTTGCTGCTGCAGTTTTGCTGCTCCAGCGTCTATGAATGCAGCAACTGACGCGCCCCACAGCGCGCAGCCGTCTGCGGTAGTTACTGCTGCTGCTGCTGCTGCAGCAACAGAAGCAGCAGCAGAAACAAGGAATCAGAAGCAGGGTATTAAAGAGCGAGAGAAGCAGCAAAAAGAATAAAAGAAATCAAACTCACATTTGTTCGGGTGCGAGGCCTCGCGGGAGTACTTCACCATCTTCGCAGAGCTGTATGTACACCCCAAATATACACGCGGTATACAAACCCTAAACCCTAAACCCTAAACCCTAAACCCTTAACCTTCCCTTAAGGCAACAGCTCTCCGATGCTTCAAGCCTCACCAGGTACCCAATGCAGCTGCTGCAGCCCCCACCGACGTGCCCCTCTGCAGCAGCAGCAGCAGCAGCAGCTGCTGCTGCTGCTGCTGCTGCGCTGCATCTCGGCTGCTGTATAGGGGAGGTCTTGCAAGTACAATATGCTGCAAAAAAATAAATATTGATATTTTAATTAATTTTTTTATTATTTTAAAAGCCTTTTAAGTCCATTTAAGCGCAGCAGAGCGGTAAATACACCGCACTTCCCTACCTCATAGAGGCAAGGGGGTAGCGCCCTCTGCTGCAGCCCCAGCAGCAGGAGCAGCAACAGCAGCAGCAGCGGCAGCAGCAGCTGCTGCAGCTGCTGGCACTGAAGCAGCAGCTGCATTTCTTATCTGGTTGTTTGAGAGAGGCGAGCGTTTGCAGTCTTGAAGGAAGCAATATAAGAAAAACAGATATTACTTCAGTACAAGTAGTGTATGTGCATCCGTCTGTTTGTTTTTTTGTTTGTTTGTTTGTTTGTTTTTCTTTGTAGAGATTATATAATAGGGTATGATTAGGAGTTAATCTTTATATGAATGTGTACAACTTTAATTAATTTTTTTTAGTGAAGATGTCTTCAGCCTCTTCTTCATTAATACGCGATTTTTCTATCTTTGTTTGGGGCCGCTCTTCTTTGATTAACTCTTTTTCTTTGCATTCATCTTCTTCTGCGGTGTATACACCGCGTCTTTCTACTGGATTTTGGGGTGTATCTGCAGCTCGTTTAGGGGGTAATCATATATATCTCGGGCGATATCATGATTATAATCAGTGGGAGTACTTACCGCATCCGTCTCTTATAGAGAGAGGTGCTATAAGGCCTGTAGGTGCAGCAGCAGCAGCAGCAGCAGCAGCAGCAGCAGTTAAACAAGGAAAGAAGCTACGAGGGAGCGGTATACACGGGCCTGAGTGTAGAGAAGTGCTGCAGCTAGCTCTCTGGAACCGTTTGAAGCAGCGAAGAAAGCAAAGAGAGGTACCCTCAATAGAGCAGCAAAAAGAGTTTAATAAACTTGAGGTTGCATGCGTTTGGTTTACCTGGTCAATTCTTCTTTTCTTTCTACCTCTCACCAAACTTGCAGCTAAAACTGCTAGAGACGAAGAGCACTTCCCATGGACACCCCCTCGAACAGACGGCTCCAGAGGCGAAGGCCCCTTCTGGTGGTTCCTTGAATAAACACCTGCTGCTGCTGCTGCTGCTGCAGCAGCTGCAGCGGGTGGTGGTGGTGCTGCTGGTGCTGGTGCTGCTGCAGCAGTGGGTGGTGGTGGTGGTGGTGGTGGTGGTGGTCAGCTGCTGCTGCTGCTGCTGTTCAGCTGCTGTTGCAGATGTTCAGCTGCTGCTGTTCAGCTGCTGTTGCAGATGTTCAGCTGCTGCTGCAGTACCTCAGTTGCTGGATCTGCTGCTGCTGCAGCATGTGCTGCTGCTGCAGCAACAGATGCAGCAACTGATTAGCGAAGAGGAGCATTTATTTAATTAAGGGGACAGCAGAGTTTGTCTAAACCACAGTGCGCAGGAGTATATATAATTTAATTATTATTTTATTTTTCTTGTAACAGAAATAAACGACAAACAAACAACACCCACATGCAAATCCGTGCAGCAGGATGTGCAACAATACCAGCAGCAGCAGCAGCAGCAAACGCTGTTGCAGCAGCACCAAACGCTGCTGCAGAAGCAGCAGCAGCAGCAGCATCAATTACTGCAGCATCAATTACTGCAGCAGCAATTGCTGCAGCAGCAGAAACCTAAATTCGTGTTCTTTTTTTGTATATCCCCGCATGCACCCTTAACAAACCTCAACTGCAGCAAGAGGCTCTCTGCATATGAGCAGCAGCAGCAGCAACAGCTATTGCTGCTGCTGCTGCTGCTGCTGCTGCAGTGGGGGTTGGGTTGGTGGAGGGTTTAGAAGGGGCAGCGGTCTCCGCACTTCGCCGTGTAGCAGCAGCAACTTCAGTAATAAACTCTAATCCTTCTTCTGGTTTACGGTTTAGGGTTTAGGGTTTGGGGTTTAGGGTTTAGGGTTTGGGGTTTAGGGTTTAGGGTTTAGGGTTTAGGGTTTAGGGCTACGTTGGTAAAGCCAGTGCACAGCGAGAATGAGGGTATAGGGTTGCTTAGAGTTTAGGAGTGTTTAGGGTTTAGAGTTGTTTAGGGTTTAGGGTTCAGGGTTTAGGGTTGTTTGGGGCTTTAGGGCCGCCTATGGATTAGGGTTTAGGGTTTAGGGTTTAGTGCGGCTTTTATTGACAGTTTGGTTAATGCAGTTTCTTTGTAGAGGGGGAGGCAGACATCAGCTACTAGCAGCAAAGATATATATGTATATATATATATATATATATTAATATATATATATATATATTTAT